CTTGTCCTGACTGAATGAATGAATGATTGACTGATTCATTATCGCTCAGAGCAAACCGCTGAACCTAAAAAGGTGAAATTTGGTACACCGTTAGGGTACGTCATGGAAATGCACATTAATTAAGAATAGATTTTTCGAAATTCCGCTGCGGGGGAAGAAGGAAAGAATTAAGGTATAACCGGAAGAACGGCTTCAACTGTACTATTTTAAATGGGTTTTTTTTTGTTTTTAAGTACGTTTAGTTTTTATTAAGGACTTAGGTGTATTAAATTAATAACATTTCAGACATTTTTATAAATATTTTTATATGTTTCGATTTTTTAACCAAATGTTCGAACCGTTTTAAATTTGAATTTGTTATTGCATATTGGTTCGATTATAGAACGATTGTAAACGTTCCATAAAATTGATCAAATTGAAAAATAGTTCGTTTAATTCTCGGTAATTCTCATCACTCTCAGCGGTAGGTGTTGTATAACAATTACTATGGTTGTTGAAATACTGAATATAAATGGGGTTTGCTTGCAAAATCCGCGCTGGCAAAGCCGCGGGTAACAGCTAGTCCTGTAATAAAAGCACGAGAGCCGTGTTGTGCTATGATGCAGAGATGCGGCCGCATCAGGTGACACCGTAAGGGAGCATTTAAGGGGTGCATAAGCAGCATTTATAAGCTGGCATTTCGAAGACTTGCATCATATCGAGAAAATATACCGCACGGTCCTGAAAAGTACGTAATTAAAGGAAGTTGCTTTCGTGCACAATAACTTTTAATTGTGTAGTATTTGAAATTTTAATTGGGAAAATACTGTTTATTTATTTGCAATAATACTGGATAAGATTTTAAATACCTGGTTATAAACTAATGTATATGTTATATTATGGAACAGGTGATCAGTACGGGCGTTGTTATTGCCAGGTTATTATGAATAACGACAAAAAAAAATCGGGCGTTGTGATAAATGTCACGTTCTTTTTTTATAATTTATCATATTGATGAGTCGTTATGAATACTGCTATCATCCGGTTGGTCAAAGTGACGATAATGATACCTTGAGCAGCGATCATCCGACAAACTATACAGCATACCGCTTTGCGTACCATATACGATACCAAAAATGGCATTCGAGAAGTGTCCTTTAAGCTGATATTTATGATAAAAATATAAAATTTTGCTAAAAATAAATTTATCATTCTAACTACGCCATTTTGAAATAATGCGGTTTAAATAAAAAACTTTTAAATTTAACTTTTTCATAAAACTGTCTTGTTGTTATAAAAAA